CGAGTCCATACTAGTTACTGTTTCTCTATCTAAAAAATATCTATGACGATAAATAGTAGAATATTTTCATTGGGGGCCTAAAAATAGTACCAGTATTTTTAGCTTCACTCTTTTCAAGAAAGGTTGCAAAGTAGAAATACCCAAAATTAATGATGAAAAATACACTTATAATCAAGACTTCAAAATAACACCAAAGTTAAGAAACTGTGACTCTACTTTATGTTCAACGTACGGTGTTACGATAAACATGCATTACGATAAATATTTGCCAAGCCTTCGATGTGTAATTCACAGACTCGTTTTACCACATTCTGTTGATTTCTCTTCCTCACAGGTGCGCAGAGCACCTATTTTCTTTCTCACGCAATTGTCCACATTATTTAACCCCAGTGGTATGAATAATTTATGATTCTTTCAACGATCTTCCAACGCGCTGCTATGCTCTTTGGAGGCGAACCTTTCGTGTTGCCAGGCGTGCGGAGGAATATCGTAAATCGAGGCGGCGCGGCGCGGCGCGCGTCTGTTCCGGGGTCGCGGGAGAGCGCTCAGCGACCGCAGTGGACGCGGTGACGCCACCTCCAACTCGCTGTTGCTGGCGAAACTACAAAAGCCGCTTCTGGCGCGCCCGGGAATGGCTCCTGGAAAACGAGCCTACACACAGGCAGCCAGACCAATTGCCGCTGACGTCGCAGTTCACAAAAATAGAAACATTCAGTAATAATAGTAATACATTAATGCCGCTGACGTCGCAGTTCACAAAAATAGAAAAATTCAGAAATAATAGTAATACATCATTATACTATTAATATGGGTAAAAGTAAATATCAGTAAATGTAAAGGGTAAAAAGTGTCCGGTTGAAGCGTGGCGCTAGCCATGTCATCTTCAGTCCACTTCTAAACATAAGACAATCTAAGGGACACCTATTAGGCAAATTATACAGAGGGCCATGGAAGTGGGTAGTGACCGGAACACGGCTGAAAGAGAGGATTCCAAACATCCTGTAACCCTCAGCAGGTACCTGCAGTACTCAAAAGATAAAGGGTAAAAATATATTTTCGTATCACGACAGAGGATTTTTTTTTCTTCTTAAACCCGAAGAGTCCTACAAATGAAGTATCTTCAGTCACAATGTATCTTCTACTCATTAAACTAACTTCAGAAATAAGGTGTCTGGTATGCACCAATAAAGGTAATGCCAAAGGTGATACCAAGTTGATAGTAAAGTGGTGTTTCATTGTGTCTGTACGGGTTGCTTTGTAACATATGATGAAAGTTTCGTATTTCGACTCTCGCTTAAGTCACATCCGCAATGTTAGGAAAGCAAATTAACAGCACCTGAAATCCCACACTAAAAAGGTATTGTCACCAGACGCTGTTTACCAGCCAGTGTGTAAGCTAATGTCGATCTTAACACTTTCTCCTGTGCTGTTCACGGAAACTTGTCTGCTGGAACGGAGGAACTCATACAACCAGAGCTATTGCAGATGACTATTAATTCTGATTTGTTAATGTTTGTTTAATTATACATTCTTGGCTATTCGGAATGAGCCGCGTCTCGGTCAATTGTGTTGACGTTTCGCCCATCTGGCTGTGGCCTTCTTCAGAGCTATACTACTGCAGCAGTATAGCTCTGAAAAGGCCACAGCAAGATGGACGAAACGTCAGCACAATTGACCGAGACGTGGCTCATCTCGGATAGCCAAGAATGTATTGACTCCGGCCGCGAGCCTACGAACGCATTGTTTAATTATAATTGGATTTAATGAAAAAGTTTGAGTTTCGTGTAACAACGTTTACGTGAGGGAATGCGAACATAACATAATCATGAAATCACAACCTGCATCCGTAAGAAGTCTTCGCGTAAAGATGTAACAGACGAAGATATTGAAGTCAACAGTGAGGAATTTTCTCTTCGTATTTCCGACGACAGCAAAAACTTATCGTTCGACGAGAATCCTAGAGGGTCAGAGGCAAATGCTGCTCCATTCCCATTAGGGTCTCCACATTGCAACAATTCCAATAATAAGGGTAGAGTGCAATGTGTTTGCAATCTGTATTTTGATCTTAAAATGAAACCTAACCGACTAATGTAAAAAAATACTGAAAATCCTAGACAAAGTAACCCCATTTTATGGTATCTAAAAAATATTTATGTTTCTTATCATTTTTTACCTTCTCCTCATTGCTAACCAAACGTATGCTGCGACACATCAATCACGGCACGGTATGCATTGATTTCTGTTGAACCGATGCAACCGAATTCATTTGTCTCAGTGGTTTGTTTAACGTCGGTCTTGTGATATGCATTGCTATTAAAAATGGACAGTGCTATCTAGAATGAACTGAGACAACACGACAGTACGTTCAGGACAATTATGGCGGTACATAGTGCATCCTCCGTGCTGGTGATAATTACAATTCTTTTGAGGACCAAATTGTTCGACTTCCCGGACTTATTCCAATTTCAAGCAATTATTCTGCTTAATATTCAGGTAACTTAATAAAGTTTTAAAAATAGTTAAGATCTAATAGTTTAAAATCACAATTTACCTATATTATTTTTAAAAAAACGCCTCTTATTCTTGAAGGTTACTTTTAATTTGGTTACAACATTTTTGCAGTGAATAATATGCAATACTTTCACATTTTACCTCATAGCGAAACTTTTAATTATCAACAACAATGCATAATAAAATGTTTAACAATGTAAGAAATTCAAGAGTTAGGCGTTCACAGCAGACAAATACAATGAAATACAATGGACAGCATTCCAATGCATAGCCGTTATGCATCATAAATAATGTTCAGATCGCTGGGAATATATAGCACACACAATTGAAATAATGAAGTATTAAAGGGCATTGTATTAATTTAATTAATATAAATAATCTTTAAATGTATTGTGGTTTTTGGTATCTGCGCGATTCGTGAATTTTATATTTCTAATGTAGTCACCGTGTTACCTATGACTATTCCACTCCTGAAATTAAAACCAATAGGGTTTAACTATGCATACAAAATGTCCCAATGATGTATATCAAACAGTTAATCGCTTCTTCTAACCGATTTTTCTTACCGCTTTTCCCTACTGACCAATCATAAACTGACTCATCTACCTTAGAAGGCGGTATACATTGCTGTGTCAAATAAACCGCTTATTTATTACTATATCATAACCTCATTGATTTTAACATATATTTCAGTTATTTTCAATATTTGTTGCACTTTGCAACTCTGTTGGACATAATTTAATTCATGGAATAGTTCTATTAAATACCACTCGTGCTTCGGAAATTTTCAGATAAATCCTCTCCTCGCTTTGCGAGTCGGGGGTTTGTGGACAATTTCCAAAGCACTCGTGATAATTTTACGGGATTTTGACGAATATACATTATATATTAACAAATACTTTCCTTTTCTGTAAAGAGGATTAGAAAGCTTGCGTGCACATTCGATCGGTTTCCTTTCCCATGCGTTCGATTGCGTGTGAATCGGAACTGTGTCTTCGGCGGTTAAAATCTGATTCTCGACCCTCCAAAGAATATTACTGGTCACCTTTTTGGTAGTTTCTCTGGAATTCCTAGTTTCTTGGATACCGAATGTGCAGAGGAAGCAACCAGTAGATAAGATGACAATAACAATAAATTATAATTTTCTATGTAATTATTTCGCCAGTAAGCAATTTACGAAGCACATCCAGAAAGTATGCTTTTGTAGGTCGTCAACAAAAATAATATTACATTTACTGAACAATTTTATTGCAGCAGATGTAACTCATAGTTCACTATTTTTTCATATAATTACCACCATAATTGAGACATGTGTCAGAAGGTGGGGTAAACATTTATATCCCTATGACCTAGAAATCTGCCGTCTGATACCAGGTTCCTGTGTTTGACAGCCTCCTGCAACTCTGCGTTACGCCTAATACTGACCAGACCGCAATTTCTTGAGGTGTAGGAACACTTGGAACTCGCTGGCAGAGAGATCCGATCTGTAGGGTGGAAAAACCCTCCAAGCGGCATTCCTACAGAAGATCTGTTGTCAGCTGAGCTGAGTGTGACAGAGCGGCATCGTTCAAGAAGACCACTTCTGCAACGAGCATCCCATGGCGCTGTCCATAAGTGGCACTTCCATTTATTGGCTGACTAGTGAATTAGGGCGCGTCAACTGTTGAAGTCATTATTTCCGTAAGAGTAGTGCTAGATTTTCTTGTCGGAAGTGACCGTTATATTCTCCCGCTGGGTAGTGAAATCTGACGGCGACCTACCCTTCGGTTAGTTTCTTCCCAACCAGGTATCTCCCACCAGCAGGTCATCGCTCCTGTTGGGACGAAAGCAACCTTCCCAACCAGTTGCATTATGAAATACAATCTCTTGCATTCAAAATTGTGTAGGCAACAGTGAGATTAAATCCTCGATTTGCTTCAAAATTACGCTATTACCTAGAAATTACAATAATTGGTTATACTTGGGAAGAATAGAAGCATACAAAAATTTGGTTGTAAATAACACAAATGTATACTGTTGTGCATTCGTGCTTTCAAAACTATTAATGCCAGAGCAGTACCCTAACAACCGGGCCGCGGACTGCTCGCATTCTCTCCTTCTTCTTCCTAGTCCTCTCCTCACCCTTTACTTATACTCATTCCCATCTTACATACACTCACACACAACCACACATGTCGCGAGACCCGTTGGGAGCTTAGAGTTTGTCGTGACGATGCCCCGCTGGTGGGAGATAAATGAATGGGGAAAACCCCACAAGCCGATGTGTAGATCGGCGTCCGATTTTACCATCCAGGTGGAGAAGATCACTGCCTTCTCCCGATGAAAAACATGCACTACACTTACGGGTCGAACGACTTTATCCGTTGACGCGCCCGGAAACACGTCATAATCAATGAACGAGTCAACCGGTGTCAGTTGACTCGTTGCTTGACTACTTCGGTGTTTCCGGTCGTGCTGCGGCGACCGAAAGCGTGCGTGCGCTGTGGCAGGTGCTGGTGACGCCCGACGGGCGGTACGCGGCGCCCGAGGGCAGGCTGCGGCCGCAGCGGCCGCTCACCGTCGACTCCACCTACATCATTCGGCCGCCCATCGGCTCGCACCACCGCCCGCCGCCCGTGGTGGGGCGCCCGCTGCCCGGCCCGCCGCTGCACATCCCACGCTCAAGCTCCGGGGGCCGTCGCAGCCGCAGCACTCAGCCCTACCAGCAAGCCCCCACGCACAAGCCGCACCAGCAGCCGCAACCAAGCAAGCCCCACCAGCAGCCCCACCAGCTGCAGCTGTACGCCCCGCAACATCAGGGACCAGCCACGCTGCCAGCCTCGCTCTCCGCCCTCCCGCCCGCCACCTCCTTCCAGGACAGCTTCAACGGGCTTTTCCCCACGGCGGTGAGTGCTGCGCTGACTCGCTAGCAGCGAATAGCGGCATACGTGCAATTTCACTAAATAATATGATCATTTTAATCTCTAAACATTTTAAATATTATTTATGCGATTCCCTTTATATGATTTTTACTCGCGTGTTCGAAATAGATTAACGGTTTCATTATTCATTTACTACAATTAATCTTCCTGCAGGAGATAAATGGGTCATTACATCATCTATGCCGTATGGCAGTTCATTATATCAGTCATATGATGTTTGATGTATGGAACTGCCGAAATCAATATAATGCCATTAATCATGAAGTCGCAGTTAGAGAATATGTAAAAACGTTAACAAAAATCGCGATCGGATGAAATAAAACTTGTATTACACGTTGCCAAAGTACCGGTATGTGTTTTTAAATAATAATATACTAGCTGTTCCATGCTATTATCCAATAACTTGCTCATACGACCTCTTTGAGTCACTTGTAAGATCATTTTTTATTTGATTTGATACAGTGATAAATTTACTTCAAAGATAAATAATTATTTATGTCTTTTAGTATCAAGAGTGTTTTCTAATCATGTGCTTCTATAACATTCGTAAATCACCGTAAATACTAAACTAGGGTATACGATATCTACAGTTTACTTCTTCGTACAAAGAGGTTGTTCCACGAGTTATTTTTTAAAGATTCTCTCAGAAACTTTCCTTACTTTTATTTTTCAACACCTTATCGAGGTAGCAAATCTATTCCTCTTGCCAATATAGTAATGGCAATGAAAATGATACTATAATATACTACGATTCATGAAGAAGTGATTCATTTTTCTCCTTTCCCGTGACTAAAACCTCTGTGCCACGTCGCGGTGTCACGGAGGTGCTTGTTGTTGCATGATATACAAAAACCTACACCGTCTTTTGATCTGATTCTCTAAAATTTCATTGCGCTGCAAAAGTGTGGGCTAAATTCTCGTAGATCGTCCCATCAACGAAACACTCCCCTTTTTTTAGAATAATGAAATTGTTCCTTCCTTTTTACTTGTTTAAATCATAATTGCACTATTAAGTACAAATGTATTGCAATTTATATGAAAATATTGTTGTCTTATTTTCATTTAAGTGGAAATGAGTTTCATTTAAGTGGAAACAGTCAACTGTACTATTTCTTTGTCCACTGCTATTTTGTAACATTACTTTTCATTATTCAGTTTCTAACGTACCTTTCTATACACTGCACTAGCTGACGAACAAGAGCTGCTGAAAAATGACTGAACTTTCGACCGTCATGAGATGTATTTTCATCAATTTAAAGATTCGAAACTCACTAACATTTTAGCCCTTCTGCTTCGTGAAAAGCAAAAGCTTGATAACATGAGCAATTGTTGAGGTGAACATTGTTGATTGACAACACAAAAGTATTACCATTGTGCAGCGGGTGTTTCGCCCAGTCACTCTGACAATTAGTACAATTGAACACTCGACAAAGGGCCTCTGGGGTCGACTCGCAAAACACTCAATTGCGCAGAGGAAAGAAGTTCTTTACGAGTCAATGTCTCCAAACATCCCAACAGTTGCAATTCAGGAACTTTCATGACTTTTTCCTTGTATCTATTGTATATTTGGGGAGTTCAAATTTATATTTAAGAAAATAAAAATAACAAAATATCTTATAATCCAAAAGTAGTTCCTTTTTTTGAAAAATTGGACTGGTAACAATGAAAAGAGATGTGTGAGTTGTCATCTGTGTCATTTCTCCTAATATCAACTTTTATTGCCGCCCTGAGGTAACTGCAATTTTTTAATCTAAGACAATACAAACGAGTTTACACTTGTCAAATCATCTGTCATGAGAAACGTAGAACTATTGCTATCTTGTCATACCCTTTTATAGCTGCGGGTAACATTGTTCCATAACTTACTTTTGATTTTATGATACAGAATTTAAGGTACATTGTCACTTAATTTCCAAGTCTTTGTCCGCTGTCATAATTGTGTTCTAAATTGTCACCTTCCAAAAACAAATAAATTCAAGTTCTCTGAACTCTTCCCTTCAATCTTCTCTGACCATTCTTTAGCTTTCTTTCAAAACATTAAATGTTCTCCTTCCTCTTATAAGCGTCACATAATTTTAGTCACACATATATACAGTCTTTTAACAGTCTTTTATTAGTTACACACGTGTATATATATATAGGCTTTAAATAAATTATTTTATTTTAGAAAAGCTTATTAGTTTCGTTGTTCCCCTGTCTGCACAGGGCTTGGACGACTTCGACCTGCTGGTGGCGCAGCTGAACGCGCGGGCGGAGCGGGAGGCGGCGCGAATCGGGCCGCACAGCCGCCTCGCCGCAGGCATGGCGCGCGCCGACCCCGGCCCGGCGCCCTGGCAACACGCGAGTGCGGGCCGCCCCCGCCGCCGCACGCGCCGCCGCGCCTCCTCGCAGACCCCACTCGCTGCCAGGTGAGCGCCTCCCCCGCCCCCAGCCACTCTCCCCCTACTTGCCCCGCCTCTCGCGCCACGCCGCGAGAAACAAGAAGAGAGAGAAAGGGAAGGACGGAAAGAGAGAGAGAGAAAGAGAGAGGAAAGGCAAGAGAGGGAAAAGAGTGAGAAAATGATAGGGGAAAATATAAGGGAAACGAGACAGGGGGAAAGAGAGAGCGAGAGGGAAAAGAGGGAGGGAATGAGAAAGAGAATAGGAGTGGGAAAGATATGACAAAAGGGAGGGGAAATAGAGAGGGAGAGCCAAAAAGATAAAGGGAGGGGGAAGAAAGAGGGAGAAGAGAAACTAGGAAGGGAGAGGGAAAGGGTGAGAGAGGTAAAAAGAGAGGGGAAATGGAGAGAGAAGGAAAGGGAGATAGAGGGGAAGTGAGAGGGAAGAAAAGAAAAGAGAGGGGAAATAGAGAGGGAGAGTATAAAATATAATATTGGGAGAAAGAGAGAGAGGAGGAAAGAGAGACGGAAAAAGAAAGAGGGTGCAAAAGAAAGAGAGGAGAAAATAGAGAGAAAGTGAAAATGAGAAAGGGAGGGGAAATAAAAAGGGTTGGTAGAGAGAGGGAGAAGAGAAAGAGGGAAGGAAGAGGTAAATGGACAGAGGAGAGGGAGATAGAGGGAAAGTGAGAACGAGAAGGTAAGGAAGAGAGAGTGGAAGAGTGAAACAAAGAATACGAGGTGGAAGAGAGGGGGGAGTAAAGAGAGGGAAAGGAACGAGGGAAGGGGAGAGAGAGAAGGAAAAGGAGAAAGTGAGAGAGAGAAGGGGGAAAGGGGAAAGGTAGAGCAGGTCAACGTTTGTCATGTTCTGTTAGTATTAATACAAATATTAAAAAGATAAATAATATAAATGAACAAATGAAAATAAAATAAAAGCTCAATAAAGTATTAAAAATGGATAAATTGGGCCCATCTCTACAAGGCACTCATCCTTCATACCGTACCTTCATTTCATTTGACTCCTCTGCATCCTTGAAAGTTTTCCTGTCGGTTGCTTTGTGTACGCCTTGAATGGAACACACAATCGTGTCGCCTGTATAGTATAACCTAATGATTCCTAGATAACATTTTCCACGGTGTTTCTGTTGGCGAAATGAGCCACTTTTCTCTGCATTCATTATAACGTTTTAATGTGACTTTCCATATGTTGATCCCGGCAAGCTACTCGTTATTCCAGTAAGGGACGAACCAAATATCTGTAAACCTGCATTATCGTGATTTAGTTAGCTTTCCGTTATAGATGCGCATAACACAATGAAGGGCTTTCCAAGCCTTCTGTGTAGTATATCGTAATCAGCCCAACTGAGGTCGTTACGAATTATTACGCCTAGATATTTACAACCACGAACTTCAGAAATATTGTTTCTTCCCAATGATTAGTGAAGCGTTTCCTTTGTTCAAACCTTCGTAAAACTGTTTTGTTTTTATCTGGATTAATCATCATTTCGTTTATCCGAGACCATTTCATCAATGAGTCAATATCTTTCTGCAACTGATCAATGCCGGATTTGTCTCTAATTTTTCGATATATGATGCAGTCGTCCGCGAAAAGTCTGATTGTTGATCGAATTTCGATACCGATGTCATTACTATACAGAGGAAAAAGGAGCGGCCCCAATTCGCTTCGCTGAGTGACGCCGGACGTCTCATGATCCTCCTCGGACAGGATGTCCTCAATTCTCACTCGCTGTATCCGACCGCGGAGAATCTCCCTAATCCAGATGACTATCCACGGATCTACTTTAAATTTATTTACAAGAATGTCGTGAAGAACTAAATCGAACGCTATTGAAAAGTCTATAACGATTGTATGTGTCTTTCTCCTTGATCAAGTAAACTGGCAATGCCTGGTCTAAAGCCATTTTGCTGTTCAACTGGGAAGTTATTCTTGTTCCATATATATCGCAAGAAGGTAGCAATTTGATGTTCTATCATTTAACATACTTTGGATGTTAAGCTAATTGACCAATTGACCAGACTCATCCTGCCCAGACTCACCCTTCCTAGACTAACGCCACCCAGTCTTCCCGCCCAGATTCACCCCGCCCACTCACTCGCCCGGACCCGGCCCGCTCTTCTCTTCTTCCCGTCCGCTCTGCCTCCTCACGACCTGCCCCCACCTTGCCCTATCACTCTCGAATCAGTGTAACTGCCAATCTCAGGATTCAAATGGCTGTCACGTCTTCCATTATGCATTTAGATTGGTTGCTTTACAACAGGCGTCCATCACAATCTTCAATGGAAGAATGTGCAAGACAATCTTTAAAGACGGAACGAAAGGACGAATGTATCCATTGCGAACGAACAAATGGCTGTCGGACAGGTGCCAAGGAGTGACTGGCAGAGAGTGCCTGGTGGAGAACGGTCAAGTGATTGGCTGAGCAGAAGGGACAACTCCTAAATTGAGAACTGAGCAACGATATCTCGCACACAGGACAAACATTTTCAAAAGACCTCGTCTCAAAATTGTTCAGATTTTCAAGATGATTTTAACAGTTAAATATTGTCCTGAAAAAAATAAATATGATGTTTAGAGTAACTTCAGCGAGGCAAATTATTGGCCGTTTTTACTGTGAATTTCAAGATGTTTCTACGCTTATTTAAAACAACCTGTCTAACTAAATTCTAAACTAAATAATAATAATAAATACATAAGTAAATTCAACGACAAAGGAAAACATCTCACAACTCCTCGCCACAAATTAAAAATATAACAAAATATTTCCGAATATACCAATTCCCATATGTTTCTACTCCTTAAAACCGAGTCCTCCTCCTTTATGGTGGTCCTCCGAATCCGTAACTAGTAACGCTCCTGCAGGAGACAGCAAAAGTTAAGCCTGAGAAGTCCGTATGTTTTAATGAGCAACGCCCATGAGTAATCGAATACTTCCGGCGTTTCTCGTCTTGATTGTTATTAATGCACCAAGGGCGTTATAAGTGATATAGTGTTAAGTATGTATATGTGTATGTATATATGTATTATGTGTTAGTGTATAGTATACGTTATAGTGATCAAGCAGCAACCTAAATCACGAGGGTCTTTGGCAGTGCACATCGAGTTCCGTATCAAACGCAATAATAAGCAATAACGAATCAGTAAAAATATTTTTCATGTAGATTTTTTGAATATATTTGTTTGATCAATCAGGGTTATAGATTCAATCATAGACTGTTACTGAAAGCGGAATTGCAACCGAGATCCTTGTCAAACAATATTTAGCTTTTACTAAATGACCTTTGTTTCTTATGACACTAATGAAAAATCGCAATAGTACACATTAATAAGACAAGTACTGAACTTTGCAACTGTGTATAGTGCAGTAGAATCTTCTAGTGAGTAGCAAATAGGGAGGTGAATGTAGGATCTGCAGAGGCCGTCCGCTACAGCTCGAGAATCTACACAGACCGTATTAGGTCCAGAAGTTCAAGAGGCACAAGGAATTAGGTTTCTAAAATTAAAAAAGGAAATTTGAAAATATTTTAATTTTTAAAAATTGTCAAAATTACTTTTTTCATATTTCTTATTAAAATTTACAGAAATAATTACTATCGTCATACAAATCACAAGAAATATTTCAGTACTTTATCCGGGAAGTTACGTATTAATAAATATATCATTTAATTGTGTATATTTTCCTTTTAGGGCTTTCTCCAGCCGACTGTCAGTTACCCTTTGCGTCCTGATGGGACGCATACATGAACATACACAATATATTAACACACTTTGCAGGCTCCTCTGATCTGTGATCAGCAGAACGCAAGGCCCTCCGTGACAATACATTCATATTCATGAGAGATAAGGGACAAACAACCCCGCTCAAGGCGGAATTCGAACCCGCGACTCTTCGGACCGAAGCGCCGAGTCGGTACACGCTCTTAGCCACCAGGTCGGCTAATTGTGTATATACCTTTTAAAAATTAGATGAACAGTTGACATTTTACGTATGATGGATGATTTTGAGGAGATGTTCATTAGAGGCCCAGTGTTTCTTAAGTTACACCTAGTGTAAAACGGTCGCCCCCAACGGATAGTGTCGATGTAATTTTTTGCTCGTCTCGTGTTTTCCCTCCCCACTGTGTTGCCGCGTATCACTCGTCGTGGTTTCCTTGTTCCGAGTTCCCACCTTGGCGGTCGTCTTATTGTATTTCCACCTCCATCCTTCAGTTGCACGCAATTCTCCCCGCGAAGAATATTTTTGTTTGCAATAATGTTAAAAGTACATGATTATGTTCTCATGTGTACCTTAACATTTTCATTGTGAATGACTCTTTATACATGTTCTCAGAATAAATGTTACAAACTTACAGGGCATGTAAGGAGTCGAAGATGATAACTTTTGGCCAATGAACACATAATGAGAAATATTTTATAACAAACTTTTGCATACGATGGTTGTAGTATAAGTCTTGGCCACTATAGTTTTGTGAGAATAACGAGCACGAGTGAAAAATGTGTAATATACACCGGAAAGGTCACGGTGAAACTAATTGTATGAACATTTAAACGCCGAACCAAAATTGGTTTCCCATGTTCATTAAAAGTATGTGAAAATACACAAACTGGTCTCGTGTCTCATCCAAGTATTTTCAGCTGTATACCAGTTCACAATATCCTAAAGCACTACATATCCTGTTTCTAAAGGCTCGTTCGTAGGGCAGATGCTCGATTACCACCATCACATCTTTCCCGACTTTTAGTCCGGACAGAACGCCGAGATTAAACGTCTACACGTAACACCTCCATTCCTGCGTGCGGAACAAATTGCAGCCATGTTAAAACCGTTACAGTCAACATGTAAGACTTTAGCATTGAAAAAGTAGTGGAGCTATGGCAAAGAATATAGTTTGGATTATCTTAACATATTGAGACGTCAAATTTAAATGTGGAATCGCTTTGAAACACTCTGCCATTTGCCTTACTGACAACATTAGGGCGGTATAGCGCCAGGCATACGGAGATATCTTAAC